TTTTGGTGCAAATTGTTAAATATTGACAATATAATTTTACGGAAAACAAAAGAATTAAGTTTATCTGATTGTTATGAAGGTAATAAAAACTGGGTATCGAATGTTAAAGAAATGCTAGATATATATGGTTCATCCGAATCCTTTTTTGAAAATAATATCGTAGATAGTAAATTATTTCAAAAAATATTTAAACAAACAGTTATTGATAATTATATACAAATATGGCATTCTTCTGTAGAAAATAATTCGTTTTAGAACTTTATAAGAATTGTAAAGAATTATATTCATATTAAAACTATCTTACATCATATAAGATATTGTTAATGTTGTAATACTATGGATTAAGAAGACCAATACCATTTTGTTTTGATATGCCCATGCTATGTGGACATAAGGAAAAAATATGTGAAACGATATTATTACAAAAGACTATCAATGTTTAGATTAATTGAACTGATTTCTTCTAATTATAAAAATATACTTACTAATTTGAGAGAATCGATTAAAATCAGGAATACTATTGTTAGTACTAACAACTGAATTTAGATTTTTTGTTACAAATTTATAATAAAAATTCAATTGATTTGTTGTATCAAATATGTTTATATTCTGCTTAACAAATTGTGTTTTAAGTGATAATATTCCCTTAACCCATTACTGTTCATTTTCCTGCTTTACATGAAATTCAATACAATATATTCAAACCTATATTATTTGTTAAATAGAAACGTGACATCTTTACAATTTGTGTATTAATATTGTAGTGATGATATTCTGTTCTGTTCTGTTATTTTCTGAGTATCCCCCGCAGGGCAAATATTGTACCAAAAGTCGACTTGGTGTGGGATTCTCAGGGTGTAGGATTGAGTGGTGCATATTAATGGAATAATAACTGATCACCAATCAACAGCCCTTTCCAAATAAACACTAAATCAATAGTATATAATAATAAAAAACAAACAATAATTATGTAAAATACATAATTATAATTTAAAAAGTGGGCCAAAAAGTGTCGGCCTTTCAGCCGAAACCAGACTTGCCCGGCCGAAAACGACTAGGCCGATTCCAAAAAATGGGCCGAAATGTGACCAAATCACTGTGCTACTATTGTAACTGTGCTTTATTCTCAACTATGGGTTGTTTTGAGATGTGAATGCTGTTTTGACTGGCTAAAAATATGTACGAAAAACAAAAATAAAATATGTATGCAAAACTAAATATAAGCTACGCCGAACAGCATCAGCGAACTTCATGAGCCGCCACGGAAGGTACGGGTTTTAGCTTTTCATAGAAACGACTGAACGGATAATAGCCCTACATAAAATCGTTTTGAACCAGTTAGCAATTAATAAGAAGCGTGGAAGGAGGAAGCAAAAACTTTTACCCTCCTCCACCACAACAAAATTTTAAGGGTCTCAGTGTAGCCCACATATTTCAGTGATTGTTAGAAAGAAAGGCAATATTTACTTTTATTGGAGAGGTCATCAGACCTCTCCTTAGTATTCAGACTGATTGCTGGCGGCATACATTTTTGCGTATCTGATTGTAGTGAACGGATCTCATTTAAAGCCTAAAATCATTAGGAGCAGTCTACAAAAATTGTTTTGCGCGTGCTCCGTTTCAAAATACGAATTAACTTAAACGAAAATTTAACATCGAAGTGAACAAATCGGTACATAGAAAAATCGGAAAATATCATTTACGATACTAAGCGCTACGTGGATGTTTCATTCCGTTATAATCTTTTAAATTGTATAAACCAATTACAGTATTGTTTTCTGAATAGCGTTTTACTATTTCATGTTCCGATAAATAGTAACAGTGAACATTACAGGTACAATATCACCATGCACTATTATATGACCGAGTGAACCGTGTACCGAAACTTTGCTGCACTTTAAACTTTTGAACCGGTATGTCTAAATAACGCAACGGAGATATTTTGGCGCAAATGGCAAATATTGTGGTTGGAGACATACAGCGTTATATACTGTTTATTCCAATCAAATGATATAAACATTTTTTAACAAACTTTATGCCCGTTTTGGAAAATGTAGAGGAATTGTTTCCATAACCTTACCGAAACATTAACATAAAATGTGATTATTGAATTATATTAGAAACTTTTATTTTGATACTTCCTTTAATATATATATGTGTATATATTACACATGTGTATATCATTTAGTTTAAATTCAGTTTGATGACATAACATAAAGTGTTCCCTTTTAGAAAAAGTATCCCTAATGTGTCAAGAAAAAAAACCCCATTTCTCCGACATATTATCATTTAAATCATTTTAAAAAATGAAGCGTAAAACAAACTTTCATTATGATACTATATTCAATATAAATAATAAATTCTATTTTGTTAAATAATTGTAATTTATTACCATTTAGTGCGTCTTTTATGCAAAAAATATCTCCAAATACTATCGAATTAAACAAATCTTCCACAGCAGCAAAAATACCTCTCGCATGCTTCTTTTTAAAGAAGCAAACTTGTATACATGCAGTACTTTCTGTAACAATTGTAATGTTAATAATTATGTAAGGGGGCGTTTTTCTTATGAAACCTCGCATTTCTAACTATTATTGTAGAATTCGATTAATTATTATTTCTACATGTGTATTTTATATATTGTATTAAATTGTATAATATTGATGTATGTACTATTCTTTGCACATGTTTAAGTATTGTTGGTTAAAATAATAAATAGAGGACATACCTTATAGTATGGTATGGCCATTAAACACAATTTGATAGTTTGTTATTCCTCGGCGTGGCTGTTCATAAAAAAATATGTATGCAAAACTAAAAAAAATATGTTATCAAAACTAAAATAAAATATGTATGCAAAAGTAAAAAAAATATGAAATCAAAACTAAAATAGAATATGTATGCAAAACTAAAAAAAAAATATGTACGAAAAACAAAAAAATAAAAAAAAAGTTTCAAAAACTAAACAAAAAATAAATTTGCACTTTTATACCACCGTAGTATGCTGCAAATAATAAGAGTTTGATTAAATGTCTTGGTATGAAAAAGAAATTGATTTACTACATGTAAAAAGTTTATATCAATGTAATTGATTTTTTACCATAACCCGATTACCATTCATTTGCAGTTTAAAGGGCAGTATGCCCATCCAAGTGTAAATGATGAGTGCACTGGTTTTAATACTTATCATTTTGTCATAACTATGGTCAATTTTATATCATACTATACAAAAATAATAATTAACCATGTGACGCACAGAAACTTCTATTAATGTCGATCAAAAGTTATCAGTATTGTTCAGTCTTCAAAAAAAAAAAAAAGTGGGAAAAAAAAAAAAAAAAAAAAAAAGCTGGGACAGTCTTTTAATATTTTCACTATCAGTTATTAGTCAAACACTGTTGTAATAGTCCAAATCTCTTAGATTATATTATCAATTGAGCTGAACTTGATAGTGGATATGGAGCGTCACGTCACTTTTAGTGAATTGGCTTAATTACTACGCAACTGTGTACATTGTATTACAAATTTCAACATGAATAAGTACACAGTGTTATCTGCCCGGTTGAGATGGTTGTGCCTCACAACGCAAAAACTGTGCCTACTTAAATCACCTATATATCAAAACCCGACGCAGTGATAAATTTTGAGGTTTGAATGGAATGCAAATAGTCAAACTAAATTCTTTCTTGTAAGATTACCCATAACTAGCGCATATATCAGTTGTAGTACCGTAAAATTTCGCCCTGTAAATAGCACAAAAAGGAGTTGTAAGTATGTTGTTTGAAAAACCCTTAAAGGCTTTTAAATTTATCATAAAATAAACAATTTCCGTCGATGACACAAATTTCTACAAAGCAGAACAACTCTTTACATGAAGCCGGGAGATTTTGCACGCATTCTCGAGATTAATGTACAATTTTATGTAAGTTTAGTGCAGAATTTCAGAAAGTTCACTTATTCTGTTTCGATATTCATTTTTGTTTTGCGATATGACACAATCGTTTTATTACGCAAAAGGACACAATAATGGGAAAGCGTTTAAAACGTTTATAACACAAATCTGACTAAAAATTGCACTTAAAAGGTCGGTTTTAATTGCAGCTTTATAATAATATTTCTTTATGTTTTGCATACTTTCCGCTATAAGTTCCCTAGTTAATAATTTATAGATTTTTAATGTCATGTATTTTAACTTGTTTTAGCTTTTGGACCTCAGTGGGGCTCTTTTAAAATCAACTCGCGTATATCATGTATTGTTATGAAACATGGGCTGCGAAGGTCATCGTTCAAATCAAACTCATTGATTTCTCATAGCTTTGAAAAAATAAAAAGTACAATATTTATGTTAATAAGAATTTTAGAAAACAACAAAAATAAAATAATAAAAAAATAATAATATGTTGCTCTGATGATTGTTTGTTTGCATTTTACGTCACACCGACACAGTATAGGTCATATGGAGACGTTCCTGCTTTACTGGTGGAGGAAGACCTCAGGTGCCCTTCCGTGTATTATTTCAGGTAAGAACGGGTACCTGAGTAGAACCACCGACGTTTAAGCTAGCTGGATAGCTTCCTCACATGAAAGAATCCAAAGTCCCTGTCGGTATTCGAACCCACAGCGGTTAGGGGAAAGTTGTTTGAAGTCAACAACCTTAACCACTCGACCACGGACGCCCTTATTGCGCTGATGATGAATTCTATCGAGATCAATACAATAAAATAAAAAACGGCTGAATATCGGATTGGTTTTGTCTATTTATCAGAAAATATGGAGCGTGCAACATCTTTAACTGACCCCCTAACACCGGTTAAAGCGGACACTAAGTCTAACTGTATCGGCGTCAATGTTTTCAAAGGAACAGAACAATACTAGTATTATAACGCTAAGATAAATTACAAGACAATATTTACAGCTGCCTCAATACATTTAATATCTGCTTTTGTGAGTAAAACAAAGTGAAATGGTGAAAAGTGCGGATTTGTATAAAAACAACTTACTTGTACTCAGTTGCTCCGATTGGAGCAACGACATTTGCCAATGTCTGTTGGACATGCCGTCTGTTATCTTTGAAACTGGTATACCAAAGTTGACATATAACCGAAACTTCAAAGAAAGGCTTTGTTCCAATGATAAACACTCTTTCCCTTTCCAGAACATAATATGCAGAAATAACATAAATTGTTTCGTTCACGTCAACCTGACCCCAATTTCCCTCCGTGTTTAGTTGTGCAGGGAATTTTGTATCATTGCAGCGCTTTTGTACCAAAGCATTTTTCCAATCGGTAAAAGTAATTTTCACGTTCCAAGGCAATGTTGAATCAAGTCTAATATACGTAAGAAATGCAATAGTTACTGCCATTACAAACGTGAAAACTTTCGAACATATGTAAACGTATTTGAAACTTGATGACATGTTATTTGGTATAAAATGTGTTACGTGCGACTAACAAAAGTTAATAGCACCCACTAAATATAGCATTTATTTAAATTTACAATCTCTTAACTCCAAGATACTTACAATAACATGCATTTTTACACATGAAACCAGATTAGATTATCACTGTTAGAGATTTAATTCCATAAATATTCAGAAAATACCACAAAGTATTTCCAATGTTTACGATATTTTACGAGCACGAAAAGAATCATTTTTTCTTTTGACTATATGAGCTGATAAACATATTTTATTGCACTGCTTATACACTTTTTGAATATGTTGTCATAAAAAAAGTTCCTTTAATTTAACCTTTAACATATCCAAGATAAGAAGTGAAAAAAACCGTTTCAGCCTATAAAGCACTGTGTTGTTATATTTAGCGCACTCGAATCAAGCGTCACTTAGAAGCATCTGTACATTATCTAAACAGTAATGAATTTCCTTCCAATATGCTTCAGCACTTTTGTTACTATAAATATGGTACTGATATAGTGATGAGTTCAATGTATTTTAATGAGCAGACGATTTCCTCTTTTTGTTTAGTGACGTTTTAGAATGGTAATAGCAATCTCAAACTATTTGTTTTATTCTTTTCACCTCAGTCTAGATAAAAAAGTCCCCTTTTCCATTAGAATCATTGATAACAGGCCTGTTTTGGTTGTGAATGTTTAAACAGATCTTATCGCTTTGTTGACATTAAACATTTATACATCAGCATAAAACACTATTCTTCATGGTTTGTGTTAAGTTCTATTCAAATGATTATCTTTTGTCACAAGTAAAGAGCCAGGGTATTCTTCCAGATTTGTGCTAAGTTCTATTCAAATGGTTATTTTTGTCACAAGTCAAGTGCCAGGCGGCTTGCACATCCATGCAGACTGACCACGCTCCGTCTTGATCGTAGGTTTGTTTTCATGATTGTATGACGCCATACTCATAAAGCCTGGAACAACACAAAACAAAACAAAACAAACAAACAAAAACAGAAATATAACACACACTTTTATACCATACGTGACAATTTATTGCATATGCAATTTGTGTTTTCCCCCTCCCAAGACCGGAAACAGAAAAATGTAGTACAGTTAAAAACAGTACGTTTGATAATTCACCTATTATTTTAAAGTTTTATTATAATAATAAATAAAAATACAAACATATTTTTAAGGGTATTAATTATTTATTCTAAATTCACACAAGTCCTCATACCTACCATCACTCGTAAATTAAATTAAATACCCCGAAGGGTCACGTTTCTTTTCAATTGAAAATTGTCCTGACATTAAGTTGTTTTCACAAATAACGAAATACGTGACAATTTGTTGCATTTGTAGATTTTGTGTCCCCCCTCCCTAGACCGGGAACAGAAAATGTAGTACAGTAAAAAAAACAGTACGTTTGATAAATCATCTATTATTTTAAAGTTTTATTATAATAATAAATAATAAATAAAAATACATTTATTATACAAAAACATTTTTAAAGGCTTTAATTATTTATTCTAAAATTCACACAAGTCATAAAGTTTGCTATTGTAAAGTTACATAGGAGGTAAACATATATCTTTATAGAAAAAATCTCACGAATTAAAGTATAAATAACACTTTAAAATATCTTCAATTATAATATGTAAATTATGTAAGCAAAGCCTATTTATTACCAACGCATTTATCTAAATGTCTGACTGTTTGTTGGGTAAGAGAATGTTACGCATCGTATATTCCGTATAATATTAATTATTCAAAAAAAATATTAAATTCAGGCGACCATGACGGACGGTGTCTAGCGTTTTGGTTATTGCAGCAACTTAAATTACATTGAATGTTTTCTTGTCTTCATTGAATTCTTTTCTATATACATGTACATGCATTGAGCTGCTAAAGAAACTGTGCACCCCTGGTCACAGAGAAAATTGCTATACTTATCAAAGCAAAATGTTGGCATATTTATTATCATTAAATTGCAGAAATGTCTCGTCTATACTATGGTTTAAATTCAATTGAAATTTGATTTTTTATCAAAAGTATACATGGAATGATAGTCCGCCCTCTGAACATGATGTTTTGATAACGTAAAATATGTCGTCATTGTTAAGTGTTTGCACGTGTTCAGTGGCGATTATGATTATGAGTTTTCAGCCACGGTCTGCAAACTCATAATCAGTCACGTGACACTCATAATCAGTTACAATGAAAGACAATGTTTATACTGTACTCGTATATAGTAACAAGTGTATTAAGACGTGATACTAGTATTCACCGACAGAAAGAATGCCATATTGACCATAAGGCTCACAGGTCAGTAATTGTATATTAATCAAAAGTCAAAACAAACAAAAAACTGTATAAAAACATAAATAATTTTATCAACACAGAAGTTTACACTTTGTTATTTAGTTGATATATAACATGTGTAACGATAAAACTGAATTGAAAGAAAGACGAAGTTCAATATTTCACGAGAGATATGAAGCAAAATATCCAATGAACCAGATTTAGTAGGGGTAAATACAATTATATGTAATGCAAACTACATGCTGTGTATCCCATTTATAACATCCAAGTTATTCACCGAACCATTTAAAATAAATGCATTTGTATTACAAGCATTCAACAACTTCAAATTGTACAAAAAAACATGAAGATTGTGTGGTTAAAGGAAAGTAATTTTATTAACAGGATTAACATTTTAAGGCGAAATATATCCTAAACTTTTGATGAAAACAAAAACTGAATCTGCAACAAAAGTCTGGGGATGAACCTTGACTTTGTAACGTTTAAAGTATAATATAATGTAATGCAATGCAATGCTATGCAAAACTATACAATACAATACAATATCATATTTATACAAATATGGAAATTTTAGCTGGTGAATATGATGTATATTGACCGGGGCGATTTTGCAATTTCATGTTTAAATGTTGAATTCTGCTTAAGCCGGTGCTAGGGGGCGTGAACGGTAGTTTGCACTTGCACTTGACAGTACCGTCCACGAACAGGCTCAATCAAACCGAGCCTGCAACATTTTTAATTTTGCCATTTTGGACTTTCTTTAGGGGTTCTTATATTCTCTACTTTATTTCCACATCAACGTTGTTTCTGCCGTCTGGAGGCTGTGAAAAGTCGCCCCGTACATTCAATCAGAGACGCTTTATTTCCGATCCATAAAGATCTTCAACACGACACTATTGTTGTGTTTGTGGTATTTTTTAGTTTCATCTATTTGTCTTTTTCGATTTGGGTGGTTCCAATATTCCTACTTGAATAATGTTGAATCACCCTTAGGATATGTTGCCTGCTTTTTAACTTTATTTTTTGACGTCTTATCTGTGATACGCAGGCTTCATAACCTCTGATCGCCTTTCCAAATTCTATTTTGTTTTGTTCCGCCCATTGTTTTCTCGTTTAAGACACACGCTTAATTTTACTCGAGGTCTATACGCCGCTTTTCATTTAATCACACGTGTCACATTAAAGGTTCCATGATGACCGCCTTAAGAATACATATGCGGATGTTTCAAAATTCATAATTTTGCCATTTCATGTTTAAATGTTGAATTCTGCTTAAGCCGGTGCTAGGGGCATGGACGGCAGTTTGCACTTGACTGTACCGTCCATGAACAGGCTCAATCGAACCAAGCCTTCAACATTTTCAGTTTTGCCGATTTGGAATTTCTTAAGGGATTCTTATTTTCTCTATTTTTTGCTGTTTTATCTTGTGAACTAGATAGTTGACCTGTTTTGTCAGGTGTGACTACTGGCTTTTTGAACGAAGATGGATAGATGTACCTTATTAATTATAGCCACACATTATTAAGTTTCATTGTATTTAAAGTTGATTAATTCTTTTGCCGTGTAATAAAACTTGACTACTTGTTTGTTTATTTGTTAACGCAAAATATAAATAAATAAAGAAGTTAATACCGGAGATAAAAAATGCAAATTTCATGAAAGGTCAACGCCGGCGGATAGATTTAGGCTCGGCATTTTAGCCAAAAATAAGACCCAACCTCAAACAAATTCCTTCAGAAAAGATATTTGCATATTTGTTATCTACTATATATGTGTTGCTACAGGAAAAAAGTCTTCAAAAAAATTCGAAGTATAAAATTCTAAAAATGACATGTTTTGAAATCATGTGTTTTCAATTAGAAAAATCTGTGAAATTAAATGTACGCAAATCTGGTCATTAACAAAGTAACACATTAATACACAAACATTCTTTATTTAATCAAAAACACTTCAACCAATGTTGATTACATTCAAAAAGTCGCAACACTGCATAATCTATACATCATCATATAGACTGGTATAAAACATTACCCCACCCACTAATGATAAATATTTTTTTTTACTTTAAGTCAGATTCCATTAAATATTCTTACAAGTTAGCTCAGCCTCTACCAAGAATAAAGTTGTATGAATCTATCTAAATTCATATTATAATTCAAAATTGCAATACATTTTACACAAATAATTATTTATATGCATTTCTGTTCTGAAAATCAATCCTTCAAGTAAATATCTTACCAATGCTAAATTGCACTTACTTTACCATAGAAAGTTTGTAAAAAAATATTGTAAAAAATATTTTAAAATAAAATGAATCTTCTGAATGTTAAGACACTGGAAAAAACACAGTGTTATTTCATCATTTTTGTCACCGAGGCCCGACTATCCATATAGTCTGACAACGCTACACATGTATATATACATATATATACATATTGCCCTGCCCTTGTTCAATGATGAAATTATATCTCCACTTTTTCGGCTGGTGCTGTTGAAACCTTTAGCCTGCCCTTTTCACAGAGACACATTGTTTCGCATCTGTAAAATTGTTACAACATAATATGATAAATAAAAATGCGAACTTTGCATTCTGCTTTTAAAATAAAACAATTTTATGTCAAACTGAAAATGTAGGTACTATGAAAAGCAAGATAGGATTGTGCTTTTAGATTTATATTTTTATATTGAATTATCTAGAAATAATTCATACATAAATGAGGCAGGTTTAGCCTCAGCAAAAACGTGCCTCAGCTTTCTTCTTTAGAAAATATGTTTCATGTTATATTGTTATAACAAATTTAAAGCGTGTAAATTGCCTATCGCCTGAAATAAGCGCTGACTGTGAAACATGATAATGTGCCATATAAGTAGGAAATACTGAACAAAACAGCACCTATACTTTCATACAGATAACTAAATAGGAAGTTTTGGTCGAGTGTTTAAGGTCCTGACTTTAAAACACTTGCTACTTACGCTGTTAACGATGTAGGTTCGAGTCCTGCCTGGGTTTTGGAATCAATTATCTGACATAGCTATTCCAAACTAGCTTATAGAATATTGGTGGTTCTACGCGCTAAAAATAATACCTATGTCACACTTTTTCCTTCACAAGTAAAGCTTGAAGTTATTATATGACCTGTAAAGTCTTGATGTAACATAAAAACCCAACAAACAAATCTCTGATCTTAGTAATTCCGAGAATGTAAGAAAACTGCAGTTTTGGACACTAAAAATGAAAACTGCAGTTTTGGACACTAAAAATAAAACACCTTTAAAAGAAAACCATTTAACTTTTACAAATGTGAATTCCCTTTAGAAAATTTACAACTGTTCTAAAAATGCTGACAACAACATGGAAAACATTACTTAAAATATACATACAACTGGCACTGGTATCATGAGGGTAGATTATCAAGCTACACAGCATTTAGAAAGAAAACAATTGAAGCAAATTTAATATGTAATAATAAGAATAAAATGGTTTAGGATCGGAAAAGATATGATTAAAAACTATATCAAATGCAATATTTAGGTCTGGTCTGTTAACACCCCATTTTAATTTTCTCTTTGAATATGTCATCTTAGTATTTAAGTAAATTATGTGTTTTAAAACCATTTTGATAAGTGAAATCTATTGCATTTTGACATTAGATTATTTGACTTAT